ACAGATTAGGTAGAGGTTGAAGCCCTTAAGTCTGAGTGAGAACACCTCAAGTTCGTTGCACAGGATTCCCAAAGCCAGGGAATACTCCAACTGAGTGGTTGCTAACCAAGATATGCAGCATTTCATCACTCAAAGTAATGTTTCCAAACCTGGTGAAGTTGTCTGCTGTAGCCCAGAGCCTGTCTGTGACTAATGCCTGGCCAGAAAGAGGCGCAAGCGATTTGAAGTGGATAAAGACAAGGCTTCAAAATTCATTGAAAGATGACATGCTTGACTCCTTGTTACAAATTTCCATCAGTGGGCCCCTGTATCAAAAGCAAAAGATGTAATAGAACAAGCAGTTAGACTCAGTTGCCAATTATCAATTCACACCCGCCAATGCAGAATTCCGCAAAAATGACAACTTGCCAACTTTGAGACAAGGCAAAACCACTTGACACTTAACACCATGTTCTTCGCTAATTTCATAACAATGTCTAATAATTGTTTTTGCCCTATTTTATTTTCATTACTTTTTGATTGAGAGAGTTAAAAAAATGAGCCTCAGAGTGCATTTCCGAGGGTCTAATTTTTAAAAAATTTTCTGGGGGAGCATGCCCCCAGACCCCCCTAGGGGCTCAGGCCCTACGGGCCTTCGTTCACACCCTTTGGCCATGTATAGACCGTGGGTTTTTACACCTGCTTCTTAAACCTGAATGAGCTCTCTCCACTAATTTATCCAAGTGGAATCAACTACTTACACTGATCTACCAAATGTCTTTACACTAAAATACTTTCACTCTTTTCATTTCCTTCACCAAAGATATTTACTTCAAGGCTAATTGCAGTTGATGACATGTTTGTTACCAAAGCATCAACCATTCCATGTACCCAGTCTTCATACAAGTTATTCCAGTTACTGAGTGTAAGGTTCAGGGTAACAACCGATGTGTTCTTTGCCAGACCATCAGCCAGATCACATGTCCACTCTCCTCTCATTTCACTGTAATTGTTGAATGTAAGGCTCAGCGTAGTCAATGACGTGTTTTTCCCCAAACCATCACCCAGACCATGTGTCCACTCTTCTCCCATTTCACTGTAATTGTTGACTGTAAAGCTCAGCGTAGTCAATGACGTGTTTTTCCCCAAACCATCACCCAGAACACGTGT